GGGGGCGTAAACAACCCGGCGGGAGCCAGTCATTGATATAGGGAAAGCCCTGAATTCCCTGCCATTATAGGAAAGTCCCTGCTACTGCCATGCACTTGGTAAACACTCTGAGTGCCATCGCATGTCCAAAGGGAAGAGCAATACACTGGAAATGATGGTTGCCCATCAGGAAATGGAAGTAGGGTCAGTGCAAAGATGTGATGATAACTTAGAAATATGTTCAGAAGCTTCAGGGGGTAGCCAAGTTAGCCGTAGAATCCTAAAACCATAGAGCTGGAAGAGACCTTAGAAGGCCATCAAGTCCAGCCCCTTGCCCTAGGCAGGATCAAATCACAATTACATCAACCCAGCCAGGGCTTTGTCAAGCCGAGACTTAAAAATCTCTAGGGATGGAGACTCCACTACTTCCCTAGGTAACCCATACCAGTGCTTCACCACCCTTCTAGTGAAATAGTTTTTCCTAATATCCAACCTAGACCTCTCCCACCGCAACTTGAGACCATTGCTCCTTGTTCTGCCATCTGTCACTACTGAGAACAGCCTCTCTCCAGTCTCTTTGGAACCTCCCTTCAGGAAGCTGAAGGCTGCGATCAAATCCCCCCTCACTCTTCTCTGCTGCAGACTAAATAGACTCAAATCCCTCAGCCTCTCCTCGTAGGTCATATATTCCAGCCCCCTAACCGTTTTGGTTGCCCTCCGCTGGACCCTCTCCAATGCATCCACATCCTTCTTGTAATTGGGGGCCCAGAACTGGACACAATACTTCAGATAGTCTGTACAGGATACACTTTAAAAACAACTGGAGTCATCTGAAGAAGTGGGCTGTGCACACAAAAGCTCATGATACCATCTACACGTTTTGTTAGTCTATAAAGTGCTACCAGACCAGTGTTGTTTTTTAAGTTTAGAAATATGTATCCTTCAGATCGAGGCCAATATAACAATCTCCTGGATCCAGGGAGAGGATGATGGACCTCACGGACACCATCCTGAACTTGTGGTTGACCACAAATTTATTGAGCTCCCTTAAGCCCAGGATGGGCCAAAGCTCCCCTTTTGCCTTGGGGACAAGGAAGTAAAGGGAACTGAAATTCCTGCCTCTGAATCCCTGAGAAACCTTCTCCACCACCCCAGGCTGAGAAGCATCTGAACCTCCTACATCAGGAGTTACTCACGAGAAGGGTCTCTGAAGAGGGATGAGGGATGGGGTGGTGGAAGGGCAAGGAGTTGCTCATGAGAAGGCTCCATGAAGAGGGATGGGTGGAGGGGTGCATTGGTGGAAGGGCATCTGAACCTCGTGCATCAGGAGTTGCTCATGAGAAGGGTCCCTGTGGAGGGATGGGGTGGTTGAATAGCCCCTTCTTCACTGTCCTGAAGACTCAATAGTCTAAGGTGATTCCAGACCAGGCACAGTGGAAATAGAATAGTCTGTCTCAGAAGTGGAAAGAATCTGGCTGCATCAGTAATTCAGCCTTGAGCACACCTTCAAAAGACCAGCTTGGATCCAGAGGGAGGCTTGGACTGGCTCTGGTTGTTACCGGACTGTGATCCAAATGGCTTGCGACAGAAGTAGCAAAGTCACTGACATGAAAAAATCGGTTCTAGGCAGTGTTCCCTGTAAGTACTTAGGCAGCCACCCAGGAGAGATTCAGGTGCTGCTCAGCTGATTAGTACAGCGCCCACAGACACCCAAAGCCAATAGCATGTTTTTCTATTTGTGATGCACATCTGCATTTTCCTTGGTGCACGTAACAAAATTTATGCTACCCATGGTTGGAAAAAATTAGAGAGAACATTGGTCCTGAGTGTGGACGGGAAGGGCCTTGGCGGAGGTGGAGGCTTAAAAGTCTTCGTTTGGTTAGCTGAAATGTTCATACCAAAGATTTCATGGTATTAGATGAGTCTTTGAGGCTGTGGAGGCAAGAGTTGGTTTTGTCTGCAAAATGGACCAGCCCATTGAAGGAAAAGTCCTAGATCTGTGGAGTTCAACCAGTTCTGAAGCAGTAGGCACTATAGCAAACTAGCAATACTCAACCAGCCAAAGAGCCACACTGGAGGTCAACTGCACATTGATGTGAAGAGATAGCTTTGGCCAAATAGCCATCTGTGGCTGGTGGCTAGCACGTTGGACACCACAATCCCAGATGGTCTGCTGCACCTCCAGGGGAAGGTCCAAAGACTGGAGGAGCCACTAGCCTGATAGGAATACCAGAGGCCAAAACCCATGCCATTGAGTCCCCAACACACGAGGAGTGCTAGATGCAGGAGCCTACTTTGCCAACCTGGGTGATGGCTGCAAACTCAATACAGGAGTCCTAGGGAAGCTGGTCCTGGAATTTGAGGAAGACAGACAAGGCATTAAAGTTGTAATGGCTCAGGATAACCTTCTGGTTGGCAATACGAAGAAGCAAACCCACCTGTAGAGAAAACCTTACAGCTGAAAAGATCAAGATGCTTAGCATCCTTAGATTTAGGGGCCAAGATGGCCGTAACACTCCTTTTCATTAACTGCTTCCACTCCAGATGCCAGCAACCTCTGCCATGAGAGCTCTCTGGTCTACCAACATCTGTGATCTTGCCAGACCACATGTGCCCAGACCAAAGAGGTTCAACCTGTACTAAAGAGGCAAAATATCATGAACTCAACATGAGAAATAGGAAAACAGTATCAAAACGGCCATTTTTGTGATTTCAAGCAGCAGATATAATACAGCATCATGGCAAAAAGGTAAATTAGCTAGCCTTGTGCGGTCTGAAGTGAGTTAAATACAGGTCCCTTCATATGTGGATATGTTACTTGCTGCTCTAAATATGTTAATATTTTAATTTCCCGTTATATTTATATGTGCAATCTTAATATTGCATTAATATAGGTTTTTATAGTGATAATCTCAGAAAGTTAATTGTACGTGGAGATAGAAATGGTTAATATCTATAGGTGGAATGTTATAGGACAATGGTCTCCTGAAAAGGGAGGACTGAAAGTTAAAAATAAAAGGATACCTTATATCATATACTGGTGGTCTAAGGTCATGAGGACCATGAGCAAAGGCACAATGTAGTCCATTCTTCACACAGTGGCCCCGAGCATCTGTTTCATGAATGCATGTTCCAGTCTTGTAATATCTGAGATGATATTTCCTTTCTGTATCCCCTGTTGTTCGATGCAGATAAGGACAACTACATAATAGAAGGAAACAATTATGGAGCACCACAGTGTTGTGCTTAAAGGATTGTGTTTTAACTACCAACCAAACAATTTTGTGTCCCCTTCCTCCTTGTAAATCTTACTTGAGACATTTTGGGAGTGCAATTCAGACCTGTGAGAAGTTGTCTCACCTCTGCCCTATAACCCTGGATGTCATAAATGCTCTGTAGACAAGCATGCAATTTCCTAAGCATGAGTGGACTAGTTCAGTGCTCTGCTCCCAGCTGTGCCTATAACAGCTTAACAATGGTCTCTACCAGTCTTGGTTACTACTTCCAGGGTAACACCCAACCCACTCACAGACCAGAATGCCCCAAAACTGTTTGCTCTGAAGTGTCCAATCCTTTACTGGAACACTGAGAGAAATAAGAAGATTTGTTACTTCCTTAAAAAGACAAAAGAACATTACTTTATTTGGAGTAAATTACTTCAGTTCACATTTAGCACTGAGTTAGTTTAGATCAGAGTTTCCTCACACTTTGTGTCTTGGTAACTCTCTTTGGGCTTAAAAAAAATTGTCATCTCCTCCCTCCCCCCAGTTAACCAGGTAAACATGCCAGTAAGACAATGTTTACCAGGCAAATGGTTATCTCTTTACATTCCTATCAGAGACAGAGCACACCAAATAATCTCTGCTTTAAGTTTCTGTGTGGTCATTCCTCTCAAATACACATACACCCCTCTCAGTCAAAAGCCTCTGGCCAACTTCCAGTGATGTAAATCAAAGGCTGCGTTCACACCTATCAATCTCAATGGGGTTTTAAGTCAATCCATAACCAGGTTTCACCAAAATCATAACAATGTAGTATGAATAAATGTGTTATATCTATGCAATACTATGCACAGCAGCAGGGGTCAAACCCAAGGCATTCAGTACCAAAGGCAAATGCTTCTATCATTTGAAATAAAAGGAGCACATTTACAACTGTCAGTAAGAAGTAGGCTCTTATAATACCGCACCTCACTTATTATATATCCACTAAGCAGGAACATAAAAATCAAATTACACACACAAAGAAAGCTGCAACTGCTATTGACTTTCCACGTTTCCTGAATTATGTACAAAAATCCCTATTTTGTTACATAAGTGTAAGGTTTTGCTTAAGCGTAAGCCGATATGACATAGCTTTAAACAAGATCTGTATTTTATTTTACATGGCAGATATTAAGCTATCACCTACTTACAAGGTTGCAATCTAATAAACTAAGCAATTTAGACATTACATTTGCAGTACAAATTAGTACACATACTGTGAAATACTGACAAAACCTATGACTACAAAAGCTTAGCACAGTAACTGCTACAGAAAGGAATATGTCATCTCTAAATTTTCATATTCTAACAACTCAAGCAATATTATAACAAATGTTTCAAAAAGATTTTTTCTTCTGACCTGAAAGTAAGAAAAAGAAATTCCAGTGTCAAAGACAATTTAAAAGCTTCTTCTTTTTTTTTTTTTAAGTGTCTGAAGACAACAACTTTAAATGTGTTTGCCTGTTACATTCAATACAGATCTAAGAAACTGATTAAATCTTCTAATGGACATTGAAAACAGTAGTATTTTATTAAATAGTATTTTCTACAGATGATGCTGAAACTAGGAACCTAAATTCATATTATGCCTAAATATAAATTTTAAATGTCTAAAGATAGGCATCAACATTTGAAAAAAGTGCTGGTGTAACTGTTTAAGTTACAGACACATGCACATTTCAATATTGCATTGAAATACTGAGGTCCTTATTACACCCATTTTGAGGTACAATAAACTTGGTTTCTCTATTTTAAAAAAGGAGACAATTAAATGCAAAATTTTATATTAGACACTGTTGAACTATTAAACTTACAAATCCTCAGACAATTCAACCCTATAACACAAAAACCATCCGTATCATTTCAGACCAATGGTCCAGCTAGCCTAGTAACCTGTCTCTGACAGTAGCCAATGCCAGATGGTTTAGAGGGAATAAGTGATCCATCCTCTATCATCCAGTCCCAGCTATGGCAGTTTGAACTTCAGGGAAACCCAGAATACAAGTTTGCATTCCCTGATGGCAGCAAAGCCACCTCCCCGGGAACAGGACCAGTACGGGATGCTGCCAATCCCACTCCCGGAAAGGAGGCACTGCTGCCAAGACCATTCCCAAGGAGGTAGCTTTGCTGGGAAGCCAGCATGTAATCTGCAGTTGGGGAAGGAAGAGGAGGGAGGGCTGCCAAAGATAGGGGCTGCTCCAGTGGGCCGGAGCAGCCCCCTACCCAGGGCAGGTGGGGAGCTGCTCCAGCTCAGTTGAGGCTTGCTAGTGAACCTTTAACAACCCTCCTGTAAGCACACACCTAAGTTTAAGAATACCCATAGTCAGATCCTACTGATAGGCATAGCTAAAAAGAACTTCATCCCTCAAAATAAAACTGACACCAAGAAATGAAGGACATGGATTAAAAGATATACAATTACAAGGTTTGCTTAAACTAAACAATGTTACATCCTCACTGTTCAATTTTTTTAAAAACTGTGAGAAAATTGTTTCTATGTTAACTGAAATTGTCCAAATACAAGCACTACTTAGACTACCTCATATATCATGAAATTAATCATTGCATATTAGGGATGTAATAGTGTAATCGATTAAGCGATAAGCAAAAGCTTCTAGGTTAATGCTATATACTACACGCATTTCCCTCCCCTCAAGCCCTTGCCAGTAAATGTTTTAGCAGGCTAGTCAGCAGCCTGGCTCAGTCCTGGCTCATGATGGGTCCAGGACCTACCCCAAGTACAGAAAGCTGCAGTAAGAGAAATCTAGAGTTGCTTGTTGCCACTATCATTTTATTTTATATTACAAAATTCATGCCTCTTATTTTGGAACATCATGCTCACAGACCATAATGATGATATCATAAGTCTATTGCCTATTTTATTTCAGCATCACTCAGCTTTTCCAAAGGAACCCCATCCTATACTTGTTTTCAACGGGGCTTACTCCACAATTACGTGCAGTCTAAATACAATCGGTCTTAGCTGCTTTGGTAACTTAGAACCAGATCTGCATCAAAATGACAATGCGAGTGGGGAAGATGAGAGCTAGTTGTATAAGTTTTAAGGGCACAGTAAATGTAGCGTTCTGAGGACTTCTCTTATTAGAGTTAATAACATTTAAAAATTTAAAAAAATTAAGGACAGCTGCTGGCAGCAACTCAGGAGATTGCTGCAATAGCAAATCTGACACATTTGTGTAACATTTAAGAATTAGCTTAATAAAATATAAGTGCTATTGTGCCTTTGTGTATGATTCAGTTCTTACCATTCCTAATGTACTGCTGCTACATCTGCAGCTTGACACAGATATAAAGTATTATGTACTATTTCCTAAATTAATAAAAAATCAAGTTATCTACAAAACTTACACAAAGTACACCCTCTTCGATGTTGTAAAATACAGTAGTCAGGTATAAATTAACATGTTTTAGAGATCAGATTTGCACCACTGTTGGAGGAAATGTGAAGTAGTATCAGTGGGAAACTTGATTTAAATCAATGTTTTCTGGGGTTTTTTTTATTTTATTTTATTTTTGTGTGTGTGATTTAAATTAATCCTCCTTGGATTAAATAGTGGGGAAAAGCTTCCTAAATATAAGAATAACAAGACTGCCTAGGGAGGTTGTGGAAGTGCCTTCAGTTGAGACTTTCAAAAGGAGGTTGGATAATAGTCTGTCTTGGATGGTTTAAGAACAACAAAACCCACACTTAGACTGCAAAACCTTTGCCTCTTTCTAAATCCATAATTCTATGCTGGTCAAAATATCTGAGCAATCACTTAGGGACATCTCTCAAAATCAACAATAATTTTCATTCTAACCAAAAGAACATATTTGTACATAAAGTCACTGATAATGTTGCAAAAGCCAAATGGATTGTGGGGAAAAAACTTACTCATCTCCATCTGGACAGATGCCTGTGGTCTCATCATATTTTGTACAATAAACATCTGGACTGTAGTTAAAAGTCCCATCACGCCTTCGAATGGGTCTACGTCGACGCTGATTTAGGAAATGCCAATGAAAACAGGTAAATGGTCTGTGCTGGGTACACTTGTGCTGCAAGAATAGGGGGCACTGCTCTGTCCTAAATTCCTTTAGATACCTAAAAAAATTAAACTGTGTTACAAGTTCATCTTATCGGAGGCACATTTATTACAGCATTAACAAGGCTCTTGATTAATTCAATAGGTATAGCCCATGAGACAGTATACAAATGTATCCTTTGTAAAATTATATTCTCTATTCTTTACTCTTTAGCTACAAATTAAATGTGACCATTTCTAATTAAAATGCATTATTTCTGAAGCTCACAATGTAACTGCTGCAAATTATACTATGTTGCACACCTAAGATAATAATGTTTATAAAAGAATATAAGAACAGCCATTCTGGGTCAGACCAAAGGTCCATCTAGCCCAATATCCTGTCTGCTGACAGTGGCCAATACCAGAGGCCCCAGAGGAAGGGATCACAACAGGTAATCCTCAGGTGATCCCTCTGCTCTCACACACCTTCAGAGAAACAGAGGCTAGGGACACACACCATTCCTACCATCCTGGCTAACAGCCATTGATGGACTTAACCTCTATGAATCTATGTAGCTCTTTTTTGAACCCTATTAAGGTTCTAGTCTTCACCGCATCCTCTAGCAAGGAGTACCACAGGCTGACTGTGCAGTGAGTGAAGAAAAACTTCCTTTTGTTTTAAACCTGCTGCCTATTATATCAAATATTACAGCCAAATTTCTTATCTACAGAAAGATTGGTTTTGTGTTAGAAAGGCTCCTTAATTCCAATAACTCAAAACACAGACTCACATTGCATAGAAGTCTATCATAGGTACACAGACATGAGCGATGGGGGAGAGACTGCATTTCCCTTCACACTGGTACAGTAGTCTGCAGGGCACACGTGGGAGAGGGAAGGTGGGTAGAAGTGAACAGGGAAAACAGGAAATGAAGAAGAGGAAGGTTAATTACCCCAGGGAGGAGAAAATGCAGGCAAGAGTGATGGAAAAGAAACAGTCACTAGGGAGGTCCCGGGCGGGTGGAGGAGCTTGGCTCTCGGGCAGGGTAACTCGGCCAATGGCTGAGGTCTGGCGGGGGGTTACCTGCAGCTCTTTAAGGTGGGTAGAAGTGAACAGGGAAAACAGGAAATGAAGAAGAGGAAGGTTAATTACCCCAGGGAGGAGAAAATGCAGGCAAGAGTGATGGAAAAGAAACAGTCACTAGGGAGGTCCCGGGCGGGTGGAGGAGCTTGGCTCTCGGGCAGGGTAACTCGGCCAATGGCTGAGGTCTGGCGGGGGGTTACCTGCAGCTCTTTCATTGCTCCCCTCGGCCCGGCAGGAAGCGGCTGCGGGTAACTCGGGGAGGGCGAGGGGCGTTCAGGGCACGTTCTCTGGGGCCCCGGGCTACATGTTCAGCCGCTGAGCGCGCGGCGGGGCGGGGCGGGGAGG